CATATTTCTTACATATGTTGTTGTGGACTTTTAAATATATATTTATAAAATATGTGTTAAATAATACATCTTGCTCTAAACCATTTAATTTTCGAAAAACACAATTCTTGCATATGTTATGCACTTAAAAAATTTTTTTTTTTTAAATTGCTGATTTTTTTCTCACTCAAACTCTTCTAATTATTATCGTTTTAATTTTAATTATTTATATATATATTTAACAACTTGCATTATACAAGTGTAATATTACTGTTGTGATAAGTCACGTTGAGCTCATTAAAGGATGATAAATAACTTTAAAAAACCTGTCAATAGCCCATCAAGGAGGGCTTTTAAAACAAATCCCCCAAAACCTTAAAAAACCCTTGGTCTGTGTCTCCTTGGCCAACTGGTGACCTGTGAAACAGCCCTCATAGTCTGGCTGCAATGGAGCTCTGCGTCTTGGACACACACTCTTGCTGTACACACCCAGCCTGCGATGCTATCAGCCCTGTGGAGACCGGGGCCAGGGGTGGGGAGGCTACATTTACCGCTGCTGTTCCCACAGAGGCTGTAGGCCGCCATCGGCCTCCGCTGGGACCTGTGCGTGCGAATTTCCATGTCTACTTCTCTTGTTGACCCACAGCTGATTGGTTCCGTATGTTTTGAGCGGTACGCCGAAGCATAGTTTCGTCATTGCAACAGCCATCGTTTGCCACCTGGGGAAAATAGGGAACACATCACCCCGCACAAAGGCCGCAGATAGAAAAAAGAGCTTGCAAATGTATAAAAACATTTAATGTGGATCATCTTACTGCTTTTCTGGCCATTCTAAAGCAGAAATTCATCTCACTTATTTCATTGCTTTCGATCACGACCGCATGATTTCAGAGTTACTTTTCCGCTCTGATACTTGAAAGTCCATTTAAAAGTTTTGTAGAAATAAATATGATTTTTGGCAAGCCGAATGCTCTTGGCGGCATGTTCCTCACACTTTATCAGTAGCCGGTGTTTGTTTTTGGAGGGAGCTGAAGAGACAGATGCCCTGCGTGTTCTTTGATTGGAGCGTTCTTCACACTTCACAGCGTGTTTAAGGCCGGGGTAAGCTGAGCTGGCCTTGATTCAATAGGGCTCTGTGTAAGAACACTTGCTGCCTTTTTCAGGCTAGTCACTCTATACCAGTGCAGTGGGAATCCCACTGTTAACCGGCCTGTGTTCATTCTGCTCATTACCACTCTGCACTTAACCTACACAACCAACTGATATCCAATACAAGCCCAGACTCAATGATTTGCTAAATATTTGAATTAATTATTTACTAAATGATCAGGTAGGGATGCGTTCATGTAAAACACATAGTTCATTAATAGAACAGCGAGCAATACAGTGACACTGAAATGTATTTAGACAGCTTAAACATTGTAATACTCTATGCACAAAACTTCAGCTTCAAACTTTTAGTGAAAGATGGTGCAAGGTGTTGTACATATAAGGTTGTTTTAAATGAAAGTGAGTAACTGAATTCCTCCATGAAGACTCCTTTTACAAGGCTGTTAGTGAAGGGCAAATGGCCACTTTGAGGAAGTAATTTTACGGTTTATAATCATGTGATTCTGAGCGGCATTCATGCATTTTGAGGTAATTTGAGATCTTACCTCAACTGTTATTGTGCACCTAAGGATTATTTGTGGAAAATAATATTCACATATTTTTATTCTTTGTTTAGTTTTAACAAACACTACATAAATTGAAATTAAATTGAGTTCAAGACACAAACAGGCAATATTTGATGTGAAAGAATAATTGTAATAGCTATAAATGAGAATTTTGCCCATTGTTTTCAATGTAGTTTTAGAATTCAAAATAAAGTGTCAGGGACATATAGGCTGTACATGACCGTACTGTCCTGCACTCTTCAGAGTGTTTACTTCAAGTGCTCTGCCCTTCTGAGTAAGTGAGACACAGCGATGCTCACTTTCAAATGTAATTCACCCACTGACTTAATACAGAACATCCGCTGAAAATGACCTTGCTACCAGCTGGCCAAAAATAATTGCAAAAATTACAGAAAAGTTCTGAGCAAAGGTTTCGCATCATTTGTTTGCAGATGCCACTTGATTTAATATTTTATTTAGTTTTTTAGTCATATATTTTAAAGCATGGCTTAAGTGGCCAAATATGCTACAGTTGAAAAGTTTGGGATCATTAAGATTAGTTTTTTTTGTTTGCTTTTTATTTATTTTTAAGAAATTAATACTTTTATTCAACAAGAATGCATTAAATTGATTAAAAGTGACAGTAAAGACTTTCACATTACTATAAAAATTTATATTTTAAATAAACGCTGTTCTTTTGAACTTTCCATTCATTAAAGAATATTGAAAGAATGTTTCACAGTTTCCATGAAAATATTAAGCTGTACAACTGTTTTCAACTGATAATAAAAAGAAATGTTTTCTGAGCATCAAATCAGCATATTAGAATGACTTCTAAAGGATCATGTGACTCTGAGCTTAAATAAATTACACTTTAAAATATATTAAAATGGAAAACTTATTTTAGTAAGCATGAATGACAAAAATGTTTTCGAAAAAACTTGTTTAAAACTTTGAAATAGTTTTTAATAATTTAATAATAAGCCACTGTATCTTTTGAAAATTGTATTTGATTAGTATAAATAAATTTTTAGCAGTAATTAAATGATTCTGTATTTCCTGCACTCTCTTTCCCTGTTTTGCAGAGGAGTTCATCATTGCTGCCCAAAGGTTTGGCCAGGTGACCCCTATGGAAGTGGACATCCTGTTCCAGCTGGCTGACCTGTCTGAGCCGAGAGGGTGAGTCACCATAGCGACAGGGCCTTGCTGAATCATCATCTGAGATCCTCTGCCCATCAAGAGGAGGGTTCGAGGCTCAGCCATAACATACTTCAGCTCAGCCTGTGTTTCAGAGCCCTCTAGCCACTCTCGCCGTCTAAAAACAGCATTGTTTTGACTCTTCTGTAATTATATGAGAAAAGTTTTCTGGTCTCGCTATTCTGAGTCTTGTTCTGGCAATTGCATAGTCGATGATACATGACTCTTCCTATTATTGTACAGCGGGAGGTTTTGAACACGGTCCAGCTTGTTCTAACTTTCCTGCAGCATGTAGTGGCACACATGTTTCCCCACTACTGTAACTGCTGCAAAGTTCTTACCAGTACAGTAATGAGCTTGGAAGTATATTTACAAAATATCTGCTCTGAGCCATAGAGCGGTGTAATCATGGTGAGTTAAACCCCTCTTTCCAAAACCAAAGATATCACATGAACATTTTTGAAGAGTCAGATATTATGACCTATGAACTGACTCATGACACTACTGGGTATGTCTCAAATGGAGCAAATGGTGATCAGGAGTTGGTTTTTGGACATTATTATTTCTTTGCAATGTGATACTGTAATTACCCAACTCACTTTGAGTCAAGATTTTGGAGGTTGTTATTTGTGTTACTTGTATACCACGTTTCCTCAAACATCTTTGAGATGTTGTGCTCTGAAAAGGCAGAAAAAAGGAATCTGTTTAACTGTTTAATTATGTCTGCCCATGTTTTTGCTTTTTACAGACGTGTTGGTTTATTTGACATTGAGATGATTGCACCTCTGGAGGAGGGAGCTCTTCCTTACAATCTTGCTGAGATTCAAAGACAGGTAACTCTCAGAACCTCAGTGTATAAACTTGTCTTAAAAGATTATAGTGATCGGAATAAACTGGGCCTTGGTCCACTAACTTTTGGGACACTATGACTCAGTTATGAGGTTGTGCATTAAAACTGTTATGCCATTGTGCTACTTCATTGTAGTTGGTAAAAAGTGCAGTGCCATTTTATAATATTCACTTTTCCTGCATTTTTAAAAGACAAACAGATAATACATGCATAATGACATTCAGACATGAACCAAATGCAATAAATCAAAGCTACAAAATGCACTATAAAAATGATATGTTGAACATACACTGTCATCCAAAAGGGGGGAGGGTGGGGTTTAGTTGGTTATGGCTTATCTGCATGTTTTATTTTAATTTACGTGGTAGTTTTTGTTTTTATTTTTATCTTGCCAAAAACTGTTTATAATTGTACAGATTACAGAACGTTGGTACACTTGTTGTTTTTAAATGTGCTTTATAAATAAACGTGAACTTGAACTTAAAACTTAAAATAATAATAAAAAAAACTTACTGACAGCAAACTTTTAAACAGGAGTGTATAAATTAATAAATAATAACTAAATGAGATACGTAAAAGATAATTACAAACAAAATCTCTTTTAAAAACAGAAATAAGGCATTTTCTTCATGCATTTATTCTTGTACTTATTCTCTGAGAATTTGAGATACTTAGTAAGACATGACCGAATTTCCAGTAAATGAATATAGTGGCATTTATTATGAATTCTGGGAATGTTTCATGTATCTGAACAATTTTGACAGTGATTGAACGATTTTGACTCTCTGGTTAGCACACTTGTTTGTAATTGAAATAGGGAGCGGATTTGGACACACCCAGAGTGTATTGTTCTATATTTTTCTTTGTTCTGTCATTGCAGAAATGTGACTTATATATCCTTAGATATTCTATCAAATCACTTTAACAAGTTATAGTTAACTAAATGTGATACTTTTACTCATATCGATGGTATTGGTTCATTCATTCTTTAATTTCATGTTTGCTGAAGTTAAAGATATATTTTGAGAACTTGTATTTATAAGTGCTTCTGATCAACGCATCATTTCCAGCCCCTCTGGATTTTTCCGTCAGCTACTGCTGAGCTCTCGTCTTCGCTTTGACCAGAGCAGTGAAAGAAGAGAATATCTGAATCTGTCATCAGCACACAGATCACACATATAAAAAGCTGTAAATGAAACGCAAGCCCAGCAGTCGAGGAAACTTATCAACGTCTGATGGTGAGATGAGGGGAAATGAAAACAGACAGAAAGGCTTGAAGACTCTACAGGGGAAAGAAAGAGAGTGAGTCTGTGCCTAGATATTCCCTCTTTATTTTATCAGAAGTTCTGCCTCCAAACACATTGAGGGCTGAGTTATTCCTTCGTGCAGGGCCATACGAAGCGGGGGCTCGGGACAGAGACGCCAGTCCCACCACAATGAGCTGCTTTGGGCTGTGGTCTGGCCTTATGGGCTACTGGCCAGCTCTCCCTCACCGCTTCCCCCCCAACACAGTTCATCCCACACCCTTAACCCCTCAGTGAGTCTGGGAGGAGGGGGGTGCACAGTGGCTGTCTGGGCAGTTACCTTGAGGTTCCTGACAGGTGGTCTCGGGTAGGCAGGGCGACTGTATCTCCGGCGGGGAATGCAGCATGGGACGCATAGATGGTTCTGGCTGGCCTTATTTCTTGTGCTCTCTCTAATTGTGGGTCTACGGCCGTGGCTGGGGCACTGATTGAACCCACTTGATTGTGGTTTCTGCTTGTCTCAACTAACACTGATAAAAGTAGCATTTCTAATTATCTAGAGATTTTGGATCAAACTAAATTATTTTATTATGTTGTAAAATCCGAATAAAATTATGTCAGTGTTTAGTAAAAAGTTTTAACATACGCATAATATATGTTTTAACATATAACATAATTTCTTCTATTTTCCATGTTCATTTTAGAATGATAGTAAATTCATCGAAAATAAAATAAGACAAATGGAAGTGAAAATGTTGCTTTTGATAACAGCTTTTTTATTTATAAGTTATATTTTATTTATAAGCTATATATTCTATTCTATATTTTCTCTTATATTAAAATGTTCTATTTTTAATCATTCTAATATGCTGATTTGGTGCTCAAGAAACATTTCTTATTATTATCAGTGTTGAAAAATGTAGTGATTATATTATATTATATTTATTAAATTATATCTTTTTATTTTCTCTCTCCACAGCAGTCTGGTGGGGATGCATCTCGCTCGGTTCTGCTTCAGGCCGCTGAGTCGGCGTACAGGTTCACTCTGGGCTCCGTGGCTGGAGGTGAGTCAGTCACAGATCATTGTGCACCACTCCTTTACCTGAGCCTGCACCAGCAGCAGCCCCTCCTCCACACGAGAGATAGCAGGACTGGACAAAAAGAAAAACAAAGCCTGCCCTATTGCCTTCATAGGGGGCTATTTCTCTAGTTTAATGAGGTTATGCACCATGGGAACCTCCTGGGTAGATTCTTTTGTACCTGTCAGTGATCAGAGGTGTGTGTGTTGGACTGTGTGTATGTAAGGAGGTGGTGCTCGGCCTTGTGTTTGGCTCCAGTCTGGCTCTCGGAGGAGACAAGGTAATAAGGAGGTAGTGCAGGGCGACTCACTCTTTAATTAAGCCTGTCGGTGCTGTATCCCCTTTGAGTCCACCCCAAAGTTGTCAGATAAGAATTGACTGATGTGTTCTTCCAAAATATCCTGACTTTCTTCCCGTTCGTTCTTTTTTGTTGTTGTTTCATCAGCCAGCATATCTATTTTAAAGGAATAGTTCCCCCAAATATGAACATTTGCTGAAAATGTACTCTCTCTCAGGGTATCCAAGATATAACTCTTGTTTCTTCATCGGAAGAGATTTGGAGAAATTTAGCATTACATTACCAATGGATCCTCTGCAGTGAACGGGTGCCGTCAAAATGAGAGTCCAAGCAGCTGATAAAAACATTACAGTAGTCCAGTAATTGATCATGTAATTGATCATGTAAATGTAATCATGTAATTGTAAATGAAACAAGTCCCATCATTAAAGCGTTTTAACTTTAAACCATTGCTTCTGGCCAAAATACCTGTCCTTAATATATTAATAATAATAATGATCCATAATAATGTTTCTCCCAGTGAAAACTCCTGTTTCCTGTTGTCCTCTTACATCATCATATGTGTTTAGAACTGTTTTGGACCATTTTCGCTTGTATATGATGCCATTCACTGCAGAGGATTCATTGGTGAGCAAGTGATGTAATGCTTAATGTCTCCAAAACTGTTCTGATGAAGAAACAAACTTATCTACATCTTGGTTGGCCTGAGAGTGAATACATTTCAGATGAACTATTGAACTAATGAACTATTCCTTGAACAGTCGTACTATTCCATATCGTACATAGTTTGAAACAAATTTCCTCTCATGACAGCCGTGGGTGCCACTGCCGTGTACCCCATCGACCTGGTGAAGACCCGCATGCAGAACCAACGTTCTTCAGGTTCCTTCGTGGACGAGCTGATGTACAAGAACAGCATTGACTGTTTCAAGAAGGTCGTACGCTACGAGGGCTTCTTCGGCCTCTACAGAGGTCAGTGGCTTTGTGCAGCCAGGCCATCAGGGACGCACCAACAAAAAGAGTTTTCATGAAAGCCAGGGGCAGGTCATCTTCCCTCTGACCTTACCTGCTTTGAAGAGATTAAGTCTACCTTTGCTGCTCGAGGGGACAATGTGCAGAGCATGAAAGGGCACATACCAGCACAGGAACTTAACAATGAAGAACATGAATGCTCTATATGAATGGCGCTCAGATAATGAGTATCTGCTCTGCTTTTAGAGCTGGAACATGAGTTTTTAAAGCATTCTGAGGTCACAGATTCAAATTGTGATTGCAAGGTGCAATTGCCATGCGACCTCCATTGAGAACACTAACTACTGGTATTTGTCAATCATAAAGCTGACAAAAGAGAGGCTGAGATCTTCATCACCTGTGCAGAATTGTAACAGGGGGATGGTACGGAAATTCTGTGCTCGTTTTAGCAGAGCATATCAGTGCTTTATGACAGAGAGCACTATATTTGAAGTGAGCACTAAGTGCTTTTGTTTTACATATGGATAGTTTAGTTTTTAAACAAGAAAGTGAGTAGTCCAGGCTTTTAGCAAATGCATAAAAATATACTTTAAAGACTAACACAAAGTTTAGTGTACATTTAGTACAGAAGTATCTTTCTCATTCTAGCTTGATGTGAAATGGCAGATTTTTGAGCCACATGATTTTTAATGCATCTTTAATTAGGTTAAACAATTATTGTAGCTTTATTTTAAATAAATCTTTAGCATATTTTTTTCAGCTTTTCCAATCAGATCCATTAATGCAGGGCAGTATTAAACATACTTACTATTATTCTAGACAAATTTGCTCAGGCAAAGTCACGCTGATTGTTTATTGACAAAGTAGATGCTCAGAAATTGGTAAAGACAACAGCCGATGATGTCACTATCCTGGCAAACACAAAACAATCAGCAGCATGCATGAACAATAATTGTTTATGGGGAATTGCAATGGATGATTAAGTTTAAAAAATATTATTTTCTAATTCATCTGCTTGTATATAAACACAAATGCACTCCGTAGGCCATGCATGCAGGAGATTTTTGTGTTTGTATTCTTCTAACTGTGTGGCCTATTTACACTTGTATACTATGCCCACATTACTGCGCTTGTTTGTTGCTGCCCCCAGCAGTGGGACATCACTTTTAAATCAGATTATTTAGTTTTGTTTTTGTCTAAGCCAGAAATCTGCGTTGTAATTGAGGGCTGTGTAAACTTTGGTTAAGACTGTTTTTAAAGGGAAAAAGAGTTTGTAGTACTGTTAAGTTTCCAATATTTAAACACTCCACATCAATAGTGTTCATTAGTGTGTAGATGATATGGAATTGGAGGCAGCACGGCAGCTTTTATATTGAGGAAAGTCGTGCTTCCCTCACCCCTGTCTTTTTTAATCAACTTGTTTTCTAATTATAGGCCTTGTACCGCAGCTTCTGGGCGTGGCTCCCGAGAAAGCCATAAAGCTTACAGTAAGTGCTCTGCCTTCACCACATCAGCGTGGCCTCTTAAAACCAAAGCCCTTAACTCCTCAGAAATACACCCCTCTGTTTCTCCCACCGCCTGCTTCAGTGCCCCGCCTTAGCCCCTTGAAAAAGAAGTGAATCTGTTTTCTGTTTGATCCCATGTCAAAGCGGCATACATTCTTGCATTCTTGATTTGGGCATCAGCAGGCTCACTTATACTTTATATGCCACAATTGTGATTTTTAATCTCACAATCATGGCTTTGTATCTCACAGTGTGGCTTCATTGTGTCACATTTACAGCTTTATATCACAAATGTGATTTTTTTTCTTAGAATTATGCATTTATATTTTACACTTACCATATCTCACAATTGTGGCTTTTTATCCAAAATTCTAAGTTTTTCTCAAAATTTTGACTTTTTAATTCTCAGAATTTCCACTTTATATGTCAACATTTCAACTTAATATATCTCAAAATTGCAACTTAATATATACCAGAATTGACTTTATATCTCACAATTGCCACTTTATATTCCAAAATTTCAACTTTAAATCTAACGGCAACTAGACTTGATATCTCACAGTTGACTTCCTCAAAGTTGCAATTTCATATTTAATTTTTCACAATTGTGACTTTATCTCACGGTTGTTACTTTATATCTCAAAATTGCAACTTTATATCTCAAAATTGTGAATTTATATTGCACAGTTGCAATTTTATATATTACAATTGTGATTTCTTGTAATTGTGACTTGATATCTCACAGTTGTTTTTTTATTTTTATTCTGAGGCACAAACAGGCTTCTATAGGAAAATCTAAGAATGCACAAAAAGCCATGTCTTATTCATTGACCACCTGCAATCCAGTTTAAACAGGCACCACTGATAGTGCAGACTGCTATAGCTGTGCCCATTTAAATTAAGTCACTTTTGCACATTTTCTTAAGTGAATTTGGTGCTAAAACATTCCCAGTACAATATACAAGATGTGTTCGAATTCTGGGGGAAAAAAAATTTTGCAGAAATTTCTGCAGATTTCTGTTGGTCCTTAATCTGTGCAGGTGTAAAAAATCTGCCATGCAGTTCTCTTCCTCCAAGAAACTATAGATAACTGATGCTACATTGTTTTTTCCACAGGTGAACGACTTTGTGAGAGGAAAGACTATGAAAAAAGACGGCAGCGTTCCTATACCTGCTGAAATCTTGGCTGGCGGATGTGTGAGTAGCTTTATGCTTTGATATGCAAACATATAACCATACATAACGCAGTAACCGTACACTGACAATAAGGAGTTTAGTTTTGAATGTCAGTGGGCTTTGAGGTTTAAGCCTTGGCCTGAGGGAACACTTCTCTCCTTTTGTGAGGTGACTGAAAAGACACTTCAGCCCCATCACTGTTTAAAAACATGTATAAAGCACTTCTCCTCTGTCATCTCACCTCTAAATCATAGTCTGCCGCCTCACGGCTGCTGATTCTCAACCTGCCCCTCACAAGCATGAACAGGGGATCGCTTACCCTTTTCATTTTGAAGCTTAAATGTGAAACTGACATTATTAATACATTGTTTACATGTGTTAGAGTTCATTCTTGTCTGATCTGTGTGAAAGCGAATGCCTTCAGTTCAGATTTCAGGGAGCAGTAGCCTTCCTGTTTGTGTCGTACCTGAGACCTGTCAAAACCAGTCCCTGCTTCTTCATGTCTGCCCTGACCCAGGATGCTGAAAGACCCTCTTTCATATGACAGTCATCACTAAAACATTTCTACACGTGTGGGTTTCTATTTAAAAGTGTCACAGACTCTTAGATGATTGCGAGTCTCAATTATACCGACATGAGTGCATTTAACCCACAAGATCTCTGCTCTGAGATTTGAAAAGAGATGGCTACGGAAACATCAGGTTGGTTGCAGATGAAGTCAGCTCAGAAAGGGAGCTTGTGCCACGGAGATGTTTTTCCTCTTCTGATTTCTCTGACAGCTCCTTTCATCTCAGCCCGAATCCCCGGTGTTTGGCCTGGCAGGATCTGCTCCCTTTCTCACGCCTGTACACGCGCCGCTCGCTCAAAGTCATGTTTATTGACACTGCAGCCACGGCAAATCAAATCTATTTATTTGGTTTGAGAGGGAAAAGACTAGACTGCTGATTTACACACCGTGAATGTTCCTGTCTGAGGGAGGAGAGTAAAAATCACAGAAAACGAGAGAGGGGAAAAGCAAGAGATTGTGAGGATCGTGGAACTGCGGTGATTAAAATTTCAAGCTCCTCTCTTCTCGCATTGCAACCTCTGAATTAGGCCCTTGACAGTTGCCAAGAGTTGATCATTTGGTAAGAACAGCACGCTTCGCTGGCCGTGGAGTTGGCCGGATTCTTATCTGGTTGTTGCTGGCCTTCATTTGAGGGCTGGGTTACTCAAAATACTCGCTTAGCCAACGTAAAGTGCCGTAGAGAGCGGGGGAAAACCGTGGCGCGCATACAGTGACGCTTTGTTCGTTTGCAGTGCTAGTTTTAAAGCTATGTAATTTAGCTTGTCCATTGTTTCTCAGCATTGGTAAAGGTTTGTTAGTCTGTTGCGAAACTTTTTTTTATCGCAGTGCCCCCATTTCTACATGAAAACGCTTGTGTAATCTCGTTTAAGTGTGTGGAATGTGAGCGAGTATTGATGAAGGGAAGCTAATATTTGTGTCTGGTGCTGAACTATTGTTTTTAGAAGGCTGTAGTGTTTTGTGTTTGTGATGCTTATGTGCTTGGTGTGTGTAAGTATTTGTCTGCAGTTGCGCTCATCTTGCCAGTAAAGTGTGTATTAGGCCCCCCCACCTCAGACACGCACACATGCTCTCAGTGCCTCTGGGGATTACCTTGCCTTGTAATTACCACCGAATTATCGAGCCGACGCTGGCTCACTCTTCACTCAAATCGCATTTCTTGCAGTCACGTTGCAGCGCATGCTTCCCGCTCTTTAAACTGCCTCTCCGCCAGAGGTGATTGATCTGTTGTCTCCTAACCGATGTTCTTGTTTGCTTTTTGGTTGTTCTCTTTGTGTAACTTTTTAAATATCCAATTAGTACCCAATTAATGCGGCTAATAGCCTGGCCCTCTCCTTAGTGCGTTATTCCTTGCCAAAACAAGGGGGAAAAAAGATTGCTTTTGACCCTGATGCCATAATTAACCATAAAAGATTACTTTCCACATAAATAAGTGGCATTTTCCACGAATAGGGTACAAAATAGGATGCGAAACTCGTAACTACTTAAAAAAAAAAAATTGGTCAGTGAAAGGAAGTGCTTAACCTTCAAAAAATGTTGATTTGTGACTTGTGTAATTCTTCTAGCAATAAAATTAATAAAAAATTAAATGGACAACTTTTGCTTTTGAGAACTATTTCCCATAATTAAACACAAAATTGTTTTCCTACATAATTTGAGTATCGGTTTAAAAGTGAGCTTTATGCAATCAACACTACAATTTGTTTAAAAATTAATAATATAAGATGTGATTATTTATCAATTTAATCTGCTTGTCAGAAAAGATACAAATATTGTTACCATTTGGGTGTCACAAATTAAAGGAATATTATATAAATGTTTTAATGGGTGATTTTTTTTTCTGTCACAGGGTTGTGTGCAAGTTGTGGTACTCGGCTAAACATTAAGTTTTAATTTTATGAAATTTAAACTTTTTTTCATGACCATGAATTGAATGTCTTTTCATTCAGTTATGAAAAAGATTTTAATAGATTCAATACAGAAGGTTAATTTTATAGATAATTATAGATAGTTCATCTAACATTTCTAAACCCATGGTATTTGTGCCTCCAATACTTAAAAAAATTATAAATGTAGACCAAAATAAACCAAATTCATGAAATGTGCCAAATATTAATGTACACCAAAATAAACCAAATTCATGAAATGTGCCAACTATTAAGTCGGAGCTGTGAGTTCTGAAAGGTAGGAACCCCTTTCTGCATGTCTGAGCTGTAATTTCCTCTGGAAGGAAAGTGCGGGTCATTCTGGTCCATCCTATTTAAAGTGCACCTTCAATGAGATGATAATGATCTTTATTTTGAAATATGCTGCCTCACACTCAATGGGATTTTTAAATGTGCACACTTGTGAGATTCGAGACCAATTTACCAGATTCCCGTAAGATGCACCATACGTTAATATCTCTGAAAGAATAGAGGAATAAAATCAACAACAAACAAACAGTAAGGCCCTTCTGTATTCAAAAGGAGGGCTGAGGGAAGGAGAAGAAATCCATGGAAACTGATTTCCATCTAATTACTCTGCTCTGTTTTTCTGCGTGTAGTCTCAGTAACTAGGAGCAACAGGAAAGATAGGGCACAGAGGCGGCAAGCGGCCAGCCTCTTTGGCGAGACATGTTTAAATGCTTCTGTTGCAGCCTCAGATGCCGTCACGTCAAAGCCGAACCGTTTCAAAGAGCTCAGAGGAACCGGTTTCAACCTGTAAATCCTTTTTTTTCTGCCTCACAAGTACAAGGTTGGAGACATGAAGTTGTTTTTTGAGAGGCCCCCAGGGGCCTGTGTTCTGTGTGATGTTTCAGGCACCGTCTGTCTTTGGCAGGTATAACCTCCTCCTCCTCCTTCAAAGAGTGACAATAGCACAGTCATTCTTAGGTCCCGGTTTAAAGCATTGTCCTCTTGTAATGTGAATATCACATTACTTCCCTCTTGTCATTTTTTATTTTATTTTTTTTACTCTACTTTGGGTACATCAGCACGTATTTACAACTGTAACATCAAACTTACCTCAGATGATCTGTACATACGTTCAGCAATAATTTTTTCCTCATTTACCCTTCTCACTCACAAACATGAATTTTAATGAAGCTCTGTGAAAACCTTTATGTTTGTGTTGTTGATCTTCAGGCTGGGGGATCTCAGGTGATCTTCACAAACCCTCTGGAGATCGTGAAGATCCGACTGCAGGTAGCAGGAGAAATCACCACAGGGCCACACGTCAGCGCTCTCTCTGTCATCCGTGACCTGGGTTTCTTCGGCCTGTACAAGGTATGTCACATTCACACAAAAAAAACCTGAAACCTAATTCGCATATGTCAGATACATCTGCTATGTGCTTAAAGTACGATGTGTACTTCACTGGTACATATTTTTGCTTATGTAATAAAACATTAAAAGAGTATTGGGAAATATTACCCCATATAAAACTGTTGCAGAAGTGTTTTCATGCAAATTGTCAGCATTTAGCAAAATTCAGTGTTCATTGCATTGATTACCTATTTATATTTATATTAAGAATTTAAGAAAATAAGAAAGTAAAAAAAAGTTTAGAAATTAATACTTTTATTCAGCAAGGATGCATCAAATTGATAAAAAGTGACAATGACAGCATATATAATGTTATTCAATATATAATGCTATTTCAAATAAATGCTGTTTTTTAAACTTTCTATTCATCACAGAATCCTGAAAGAAATGTGACACATTTTCCACAAAAATATTAAGCAGCCCAACTGTTTTTAACATTGATAATAATAAGAAATGTTTCTTGATATTTAATCATATTTAAAAGATATCTGGAGGATCATTTGACACTAACGACTGGATGGCAGCTAAAAATTCAGCTCATTTTAAAATATATTGAAACAGAAAACAGCTTTTTTAAATATTACACAATATTACTATTACACAATAATACTATATATACACATTGCTTTTACTGTATTTTTGATCAAATAAATGTAGCCTTCGTGAGCATAAGAAAAATAGTTAAAAAACATTTAAAAATCATATTTATATTTGTATTGATGTTTGTTTATTTTCATATTTTTCTCTATAAATATTAAGTGAGGGGTCGTAAGCAATAAATACCAAAATAACATGCATGCTTAATCTTAATATCTATCTGCATACTACCTATCCTAAAAATATGCAGAATTAAGCCTTTTTATTACATTTAGTATAGTGTTTTGTGTGTGTGTGTGCATTTTTGTATGTAACTGTTCATATATTTAACACCTCTTCCAATAGCCCTCCAAAATACAGTCTGATCCACCTTGTACCACATGACCTAGACGAGCATCCTCAGCCCTCTAGCGCCTCCCACCTGTGGATTGACTCCCTGGACTCCCTCTTATATCCCTGAGTGCCTCAGTCATGCTCCACGTTCTCCAGCAAGTCTCATACACACCCACCCACACACACACACCATCAGGCCTCAATCCACCCCCTGCGGTCTGCTGTAGCAGTCGGACCAGGTAGCACCAGCCTCTCAGAACCATGAATGCACAGCGGCTCCCTGAGTGCTGCTTTTGTGTCCTGTTTTCCCCATGAGGCTCAGCAGCGCTGCAGGAGAAGATCTCCAGTTATTCTGCTGCTGCCGATTGCATCTGAGCAGGGATGCAGGGCTGCATTCCTGAGGCTTGGAGCGCAGGAGGCTGCGGAGAGCGAATGTTTTGGTGTAAACAACGTTGTGGGGACTGCCATGATGGCGTTGGGTCGTATCTCATCCAGTGGCTGTGTTCTCTGACATTTTATGGACAGCTGGAGAGAGATGAATGAGGCGTTCACCTCTGTGTAGGTGTTATGTGTGGTGCTAATTACATGTAGACACTTGATGTTGGTTTATGCTGTAATAATAACTGATGTTCACTTTTTTAAATTATTTATGGAGGCAGTAGAGCGGTCAGGAAATAATAGGGAGGAGAGGAGACCTTAAAGTCTAAATGCTTTCAAAAAGTGTGTGTATATGACACAAGTCAGACTCAAACCCACTTTGTTCAGAAGTGTGTGTGTGTGTGTGTGTGTCAGTAAGAATTTATTTTTTTGGCTAATGTTCACCAAGACTGCATTTGAAACTGATATTATGAAATACTACAGTTTAAATTTTATTACGGTTTACAATTGAATTTTCAACAGCCATTACTCTAGTCTTCAGTGTCACATGATCCTTCAGAAGTCATTCAGATATTCTAATAATAATAAACTTTTTAAAAAAATTATTATTATCAATATTGGGAAAAAGTTTTTCTCCTTAAAATTTTTGTGGAAGCTGACAGATCAATTTAATGCATCCTTGCTGAATAATGGCGCTTTTCCACTGCATGGTACGGCTCGGTACGGTTCACTTTTGGGGGGTTTTCCACTGGGTACAGTAAATAACACAAATCAGACTCAGACGGTTCATTGTATCAGCTTTAATTGTATCTGTTGTATAAAACCCAACCTTTTGTTTTCCATATTGTCTTTTAAGTATCAATACCTCATGTACAATTTCAACATCACTCAGTAGATTACAGTAGAATGTGCTTCACTTATCAGTAAATCACATGGCTGGTCACTTGAAAAAAACCTGCGCTCCTGTTGTCTGGCCGAGGCAGGTAAGTCTCCAGGGCTCACCTGTCAGCCTGTCGTGGGAAAGAAGCCTTTATTTCAGAGTCATGGTCGGGGAGGTGGGGGGAGGTTGCTACCGTACACAACAGCCTGTGTGTGTGTAAGAATGTCGAATCCGTTGCCTCCCCTCCATCCGTGTCTCTCCTGAGCCGCACGGACAATGTGCTTTGAGTGCAGGAGACGCGCTGCAAATGTTTTTTTTGTTTTTTTTGCACCCTCAAATTCCAGATTTTCAAATAGCTGTATCTCGGCCAAACATTGTCCTATCCTAAGAAACCATACATCGGCTCCTCAGGGTCCGGCCCAGGCACAGAGCTGTCTTTGTCAGCCTAATTACCCCGCCTCTCCCCTTCTGCCGCTGCAGGGCCTCCACCACCACTCCCTGCCTGTGCTCCAAACCAAAGACACAACCTTCATATCACATTCACACACACACACACACCTGCGAGTGTGCTGTTGTCGAGTTATCATGCACACTGAGGGCCAGTGGATCCAGATGTTCCCACATTAACACAACCCTCACCTCTGGCACTCCAGGCTCTGCCAAAGCAGATGAGCCAGGCCTGGTCTTTTGGACGCAGGGGTGATTTTTATCTGGTTTCGCAGCAGGCAGTCTGCCCTGGCCCGCAGGAGAGCACAAAGATTGCTTCAGGAAAGAGATACCTCGGCTATCTGCGCTACCTGTGTACACGCTGCAGATTAACCTTGCGAGTCTAATGAAGCCTGTCTAAAGCGCACTTCAGCCGGGCTTTAAAGCGCTCTGCTGAGAGGAAAATCTCTCTGTTTCTCCACTCCTGGCTGCTCGCCAGCACGCTAAAAACGAGGAAACCGAATCCCGTTGAAGGTACGGCTTTGTTTGCGGTGACAGATGCAGGAATAGTGTCCGCGACCGTTCTTGCAAGAAAAAAACGCCATGGTGAATGTTTATTTGAAGTGACAAGTCAGAAACGGCACAAAACAGACTCATTCCACAGGGCTGACATTAACACACCATAAACTGAACTCCCAGAATATCTCAGAACCTCACAATACTACACAACTGCGGTCCTCGAATGAAAAAAGCTCTCTGTAATATATCTAAAAAAATATTAATGTCTTCGATAACGTGTCCGTCTTCTTGGCCCCCAGGGTGCAAAAGCCTGTTTCCTGAGAGACATCCCCTTCTCGGCCATCTACTTCCCCTGCTACGCACATACCAAGGCGGCCCTGACTGATGAAGACGGGCGAGTGGGACCTGGCAGGCTTTTGCTGGCAGGGGCGCTGGCGGGTAAGCCACCACGCACTCTCCGGTAGCCGCCTGCCACCGCTGGCTCCATTGTGGTTGGCCGTAATTAGAGTGCTCAGTGATTTAGGCTGTGTTTTGAAGTGCAGCGCGTCTGCCAAGGGTCGGATATTTTCCACTGTTTAATATATAGAGGCTGGAAGTTTGTGCTTTGAGCTTTGAGAGTGTTAAAAGAGGGAAAAAAATATCTCAAAGTCCCAAAGTAGCCATACTGCAGGAGCAATAAACAGATCCTACGATACTGGCTCAGGACGTGTCACAGTTGGTTTGATGCCTGTGATGGGACATTGTTGACATCAATCACTTCTTGACACGCCACATTTGAATTGAACTCAAGCCCAAATTAGACCTACCTTAGAGGAGAAGATTTTCAGTGAATAATCATTTAAATTTCATTCAGTTCTTCAGAGAAAACTATGACCATACGACTTCAGAAGACTTGAAATATAGTGCAAACATCGTATGGACAACTTTTGTTTCTCTTTTACGGTGATTTTTTAAAATTTCATTTTCATTTTTGGAGCTTGACAGACTCACTTAGGACCACTTTGGGCTGCATTTCCCAAAAGCATCATAAGCCTTACTTATGTAGATCATAGGACCATTGCCACCAATGGCCTCTACGCTCAACTTAGCTCACACTGCTTTTGAGAAACGCAGCCGTGGACTTTCTGTGATTGCTTTTGGGAAATTTTGTCCTTTTGTTGAGTGAAAGTCACACAGGAGCTGGGTTCACAAAACATTCGCAATAATACAATTCTTCTTAACTCTGTTCTAACTTAAGAATAAAGAATACGAATATTTTGCATTTCAAAAAATAGTTCTTAAGTATGTTCTTATCTTTTTTCTTAAGATCTTTCCAAAGACAAAACTCCTGAAAAGAAGGTTCTTTAAGAAACAAAAATGTTGTTAGTGCTTAGTAGCATTATTACGATAATCTGCAGGCAGCACAAAAGACGGCTTTGAGGTGTTTCTTCATAGTGTTGATCAGCGAGGCTTATAGTGTGATAACACCAAAACCTGTCATTGTCGTCTCATGGATGTTTTTAAGAAAATATTTGAGAACTTTTGGAATTTTCAAGAATTGCACTTTCTTAAGAGCTTCTTAGAATTGATCTATCGAGGTTTGGATCAACAATAGGGTGAACACATAATTTTTGGGGGAATAATGGTGTGTTGTAGCATGCCTTTATATCCTTCTACTAAGTCAATTTAAAAAAAAAATCTAAAATCTATACAGACTGCATGCTGATGCTTCATTTTAATGTTTTTTTTTTCTCCCTCAGCACGTGTGTTTCGCTCCTCGCCTCAGTTTGGAGTGACTCTAGTGACCTATGAGCTCCTGCAGAGGTGGTTCTAAATACGATCCAGATCTGAAGTTGTTTTTAATATTTTACTCTTGCGGTTCATCTTTAAGAAAACATTGTTTAAAAAGACGACGTCTTTAGCCAAGCCAGTATGGTTTGGAATGTAAGTCAAAGAGAATTAATATTTATTTCTAATCCTTTTTGCCTTTTCAGATTTACTGCTTCTTGACTTGAGCGTGATATGAGATTGAAAAGCCATACATGGTCAGAGAGAGCTTAGCATTCCTGTCTTCCCCAATGTTTTATATCTGTCAGATGGTTTAAAGCAAGTTTTTATGGTTAGCACACATCCTAAAACTTTGAAATAGTTTAGTAACACTTTCTTTAGAATTCTTCCATTAGTAAAAAAAAAAAAAAGATCTGGGCCGCATAGTGTGATTGTGAAGAGCACTGAAATGTCAGATGCCCTGAAATTTCATTAATAGCTGTTTAGAAAGGGCTGGCTTTGTAGCAAAGGCTCTCATTTCGATGGGCACTTTGTTACAGCTGAGGCAGGAAGGCCTAATTACTACACAAGAAAGCTTTGAATGCCTGGACTGAAAGCTGTTTGCCGTGGCATCTTTATCTCTCCTGCTGAAGCGAAAAACACCCTCGCTTTATGATTTCGAAAGGGTCAGCTGACTCACTGAAGCCTGGAGGTGACATTTCTAAAAATGCTCTTCCATAGCCACATGGCTCCATGTGTCCAAGTGATTTGAGGTGGGGAGAATTGCTTTGACTGGAGTCTGTTCCAGTTCTGGACAGAATGACCTTATTTTCCCATGGAATATTGTGCTGTCCTGAAACCCAGAAACCACAGGCACATATAAAAGAACATGGTATATATACAAACCTGTGTGTGGATTTGTTTTTAATACCTGTTTATATATTGATTCATGTGGCTCAGTTAGCACTTTAATAAATATGTGCTGTCATATCGAAAAGTGTACTGGAGATAAACAGCCTGACTGAATTGTGAAAACCTTTTTTTGCCTTTTTCAAAACCTTTCCATTTAGGATACAGACTGTATTTTAGGACATTTTATGACATCAGTTTAAATGAAATCATACAATTATGTAGCTCAGGTCTGAAACTTTTATGTGAAAAAGAGACCGTAGATATGAACAAGAATGCATTATTATTTAAATTCCTGCTACTACTGATAATTACTTTCATGTTATGACTGTTAACTGATGGCCAATATTATAAATTTATAAATATATTCTTTGTTAAAGAATACATTTATTCTTTGTTTTATATATATATATATATATATATATATATATACTGTCTTCCCCAATGTTTTATATCTGTCAGATGGTTTAAAGCTAGTTTTTATGGTTAGGTATGTTCTTATGGCATGTATCACTCAGTTTACCATTTATCAGCAATTCGAGCTTCAAGGCAATTAGTGATTTACAGTCAGTTCAGGAAATGTAATTACACGCTCAGTTTGTGTGCCATTATTGGTAGGCAGGCAGACATCTGGGGCATTGACCAACAATACAGTTGACCTTTTCCCTTACTCATGCCTCTTCTTGAGGAAATGAATGGATGTATGTATTACATTTGAATGTAGTTTTTATTCTATATCTGTAATCTTTAATTTCATATATTTCAGTTTTCTAGTTTTTAATTGTAGTATTTTTAGCCTGCGTTAAAGTTAATGCACCAACAGGTGTAAATTAAAATGGTTTAACAACATTATATTTCTTTCTATGAAAATGTTTCATTTTAGATTTTGCTAATGATAATAACACTGAGATATTTTATGTTCTTTGTGTTTAATAATGAATGTTTTGTCCATCGGAGCAGGTCAACAGAGAGAAAGGCTTGTAATTATTCAGATGAAGTCTTTTATTTAGATGTTTAAATAAAGCTCTTGAGTCTTGAACATGCGGTGGTGTCGGCGTGCTGGCGGTGAGACTGCTCAGGATAAATGCTATCGTCGATTTAGGCTATTAAGAGCTGAATTGGTGCCACAGTGGCCTTTGTGCCGGACAGCGTGGGACAGGGCTTATGCCAGCCTCATTATTAAGCATTGTCTGGACCTTTAAATAAAAAAAGGATGCATACCATTTGATAAATGGTGCTTTCTGCTTGAGATATTTATAATATTTGATAAAATAGGCTTTTGGTGTTTATTTGACTGAACTAATTCTTGACACACTGTGCATTAATCATAGATGGAGTCACAATGTTTAAATACGCTAATGTTTTAATCCTGGCCTGAAAACTGAATTGAATTTTATTCACAAATCTATTATATTCAGATATGATGTCTGAATCCTTTGTTATTACTTCAGTGTTCTAATGAATTTAAATCAGACTCTTTATTGACATGTGTGACTTCTCTTTAGGCATGCCTGCCGCATCCCTGGTGACCCCTGCTGATGTTATCAAGACCCGGTTACAAGTGGCTGCCCGTGCAGGCCAGACCATGTACAATGGACTCATTGACTGTTTCTGGAAGATTCTTCAGGAGGAGGGGCCTCGTGCCTTCTGGAAAGGAGCTGAAGGTATATCTCGCAGACGTCCCTGAAACTAGTCGTGCCAATATTTTTTGTTACCAGCGATTTTGCAGTTGACCTTATATTTTAAAGGGTCAGTTCAGCCAAAAATAAGAATTTTGTCATCATTTACCCCTTTCCAACTTTCCACAAAAAGTTGTAGTTCTAAAATGGCATTGAATCAAAAATGTGACCCTGGACCACAAAACCAGTCTTAAGTCGCTGGGGTATATTTGTAGCAATAGCCAAAAATACATTGTATGGGTCAAAATTATTGATTTTTCTTTTATGCCAAAAATCATTAGGATATTAAGTAAAGATCATGTTCCATGAAGATATTTAGTAAATTTCCTACCGTAAATATATTAAAACTTAATTTTTGATTAGTAATATGCATTGAACTTCATTTGGACAACTTTAAAGACGATTTTATTTTTATTTAGTTGTATCTCGGCCAAATATTGTCCTTTTGTCCTAACAAACCATACATCAATGAAAAGCTTATTTATTCAGCTTTCAGATCGTGTATAAATCTCAATTTCAAAAAATTGACCCTTATGACTGGTTTTGTGCTCCAAATATCAAGCCTCTAAACAACAGGCTTCTGGAAGGTTTCTGTTGGTCTCTCTCCAATACACAATCCAGCAGGTGCTAAGAAGGCTTTCTCTCACTCCATTCTGCTCAAACAATAGCAAAATACCCTTTGCCAGATATGCAAATGAGCCATCTATTAAGAGCAACTTTTAAGCGCAAATGAATGTAAGGCATTAAAAAAGTTGTTAAGTTCGACTGGAGCATCTTACCTGCCAAGTGGGGTCTGCGTGGCGGAAGTAGCAGAAGTTGTCTGTGATCCACTTATAGATGCATGAGAGAGTGATTTTGGTTTTCTTACTGGCCTGCATGGCCATGCAGATGAGAGTTGCATATGAGTACGGCGGCTTGATATGAGGGTTGGTCTTATAATCGACTTCATCCGGACAGTGTCCGTGAGCAACCAAGCTGGGAAGAGCCGACAAGGAAGGCGTCCTGCAGAAAGACGCCGCCGTGGGTTTGCCTGGGGTCAGCGGCATACCTATGGACGCCGGATCTCCTGCTAAAGGAGACGAGGGCGCATCCGAGCCGACTTGGCTCCTAAAGAAGTGGCTGTGGTGATGGCTGGATTGGGAGGCGCTGGTGTTGAGAATGGAGAACTCCTGCAGCCACTGGAGGCTGGTGAGGCTGTCGTCTAAATTGTCGGAGCTGCAGCTGCTGCTGTTGCACTCGAGTGAGCTCCGGTCCAGCTGCTCGGCCTGAGCGGCGGCCGTGACCACCACCTCCTCCATCCCCACCGAGCCCTCCGGCCAGGGGTCCGTGTAACTCATGGAGAGCATGGTCCTGTCCCAGTCAAATCCTGAGGAGGCATAACGTTTGAGCGCAGTGAGTTCAACTGTTTGTTTTCTTTATAGGGGCAACGGACGTTTGCAAGGCATGTGGCTTTATTTGGATTCTCCAGCTTATAGAGGTCATAGACGTTTCCTGAAACTTCACAGGTCGAGCTTTACAACAGCTCATAACTGGCGTCTGTGAGCACACAATAGAGCAGATCCCAAACCAACAACATTCCTCAGCACGGCAGGTGCACCAGGATTCACGGAAGCCCACAAAATACTGCCTTGCCTTCAATATTCAGATGTTTACACTGCAGAACCAGGTGATCTATAAGAACTAAAGAGCTATTTCTTGATTTACCTATAAAAGTAAGTTTGAATGAATATATTTAGGTTGATTAAGTGACATTAAATAACATCTTGACTTGAATAAAACCAGTTAACGTAATCTTTCCATTTTTAAGCCGTTTTTTTTTT